CTGAAATTTCTTAGAAGATAATTTTCTTTTTTGCCTCCTCCCCAACCCTTTCAAAATTCCACTGGTCAACAGAGAACATGCACACATACACCAGTTTGCTGCTCACAAGCAGGATGGATAATTTTGGAGGCTATTTTTGCTCATGTGCAGAAAAAATCTTCCACAAGGTGATTGCTCATAGGGGTTATATGAACAGTTACCAAGTAGTGAACACTGGACTGAATCTGGTAAATGAGAGTTTTCCATAGCTGCAAAGTGTTTGTCTGCTGTGTGAAACCTTGCTTCGCCTCTGCTTCACTACTAACACAGGTCATAGCTTGTTTTATATGATAAAGCACAGCAGAGTTATATACTACAGTTATAACTACTGTGGTGCATGAGAGAATATTGCCAAACACAAATTAGTTGGCTTATTTTTTTGGCAGGTTTGGCCTTATTTTTTGATTGTATTCTAATTGGCTGATGTTATAGCTAGCTGCTTTGACTGGGTTTGTGTGTGTGAGAATGTCCTTGGTTTTTCTTCCATAACATGGGTAATTTGTGGTTCTCATGATAGTTTCACAGAATTCTAATGTGCACCTCGGCCCCTCAAAATTGGTGACTCCTGGATTAGAGGGTCATCCTCTTGCATATTTCTGCTAATGGCATTCATAACTGATGTAGGTATATGTCACTCTGTGTTACTTCCACTACAGCTCAGGGATGGTTCATGATCCTTCTATCAACTGTACCATGGTGACCGAGTTTGTCCTGTTGGGGTTCACTAGTCACCCAGGCTTGGCCCGACTGCTGTTTGGACTCTTCCTCCTGATGTATGCAGTGACCTTGGCAGGCAACGGGCTGATTATGACTGTGGTGTGGACTGATCCTCTCCTCCATACACCCATGTACCTCTTCCTGGGCAGCCTTTCATGCTCTGAGACAGCCTACACTTTGGTGGTCATACCACAAATGCTTTGTGACCTGCTGGCTCCCCATAAGCCCTTTCCCTTGGCATCGTGTGCTGCTCAGATGTTCTTCTTTGTGGCCTTAGGTGTGGCTGACTGTCTGCTGTTGACAGCCATGGCATGGGACCGCTATGTGGCCATTTGCCACCCACTACACTATGGGACCTTCATGAGCCAACGGATTTGTTGGGGCCTAGTGATGGGGTCTGTCTGTGGTGGTTTCATTCTTTCTTCCTTCCTCACTGGAGTGATTTTCTCTTTGCCATTTTGTGCGCCCAACCATATCCCCCATTTCTTCTGTGACATCCCTCCTGTGCTGAGCAGGATATGTCCTGGCTATGGAACTATTGAAGTTACTGTTACAGCCTTGGTTGCCATGATCCTCATCGTCCCTTTCTCCTTCATCATGCTGTCTTACGGGTGCATTTTGATGGCTTCCCTGAACATGAGCTCGTCTCAGTACTGTCGCAAGGCCTTCTCCACCTGTGGAGCCCACTTGACAGTGGTCTTTCTTCACTATGGCTGTGCCATCTTCTCATATGCCAGACCTAAAGGCAGCTATATTGAAGGCCAGGACCATATCCTTGCGGTGTCTTACACTGTTCTCATTCCCATGCTCAACCCTCTGATCTACACTCTAAGGAACAATGAAGTGAAGGGAGCACTTAGGAAGATGATGTGTCGGGGTTGCCTTCTTCCTAAGGGATAGATGAAGCGTTCTACTGAAAATGGACTCCAGATGGACAGTTCTGCATTTCCCTACCCTGTCTTTTTGTGTTTCAGTTCAGTTCCATTTCTATAATGTACATTGTGAAGTAGTTTCCAAGTGCATTGCTTCGCAGAAATATGTATAATAATTCAGTGTTTCACAGATGGTATTTATAAGAACTAAAGAAAGCCTGGCTGAGACACAGAGCCTGCTCTCCTGTCACAGCCCAACTGGAGAAGAGAAAGATACAACTTGGTTCCAGTGTGAAGATGCTTCTCTGACGATCCTTGGGGATCCAACCACTATTTTATCTTACTCATTCATCTGAAAAATGCATTAACCACTTCATGTTCTTAAAACATATAAAAACAGTATAAAATGCTGTTCTGCTCTTTCACAAAATGAACAGACAAGGCTAGGATCACCCCTCTGGCTGCTCACCTCAGATGCTTTTACAGAAAGGTGAGCAGGAGTGTGTGGTTCCTAATGTGTGGTGAGCATGATGCAGGGATTATATTTCAAGAAAGTTTTGTGTTTTTAATGCATAAACTGAATTTGGATAACTTTAACAAAGTCTGGAGGGAAATGATTTATTTAAGCCCATAAGCAGTTCAGCAGGACTCCGCCCTGTGGCCGCATGAGGGGTGGGGTGTTGCACGAACAAGTATTCAGTGACCCGCTCGTACCAGTCTCCCCGGTCCAGGCGTGCCAGTGCCTCTTTTGCCGAGCGCACCATTCTCTCCGCTTGCCCGTTGCTGGATGGATGAAAGGGTCCGTTAGGGCATGGCGGATGCCCAGTCCCAAAAGATACCGCTCAAAAGTGCCTGACATGAACTGCGGTCGGTTGTCGGAGACCAGGACATCAGGACACCCATGTGTTGCAAAGAGGCCTCGCAGCACCCGGATGACGGCCTCGGTAGTGGTGGAGGGCATCAGGGCCACCTCCAGCCATTTGGAATAGGCGTCCACCACTACCATAAAGGTCTGGCCGTGAAAGGGGCCAGCCAGATCGATGTGCACCCTCGACCAGGGTGTCTTGGGTGTCTCCCAGGTGTGTCCCTTAGCTGCCGGTGGTGCAGGCCTCGATTCTTGGCACGCTTGACAGGCGGAAACCCAGGCAGTGATGGCATTGTCCATGTTAGGCCACCAGACGTAACACCGAGCCAACGCCTTCATTTTGACGATTCCCGGGTGGCCAACGTGCAGAGCCTTCAGGACACGTTGACGGAGTCTTTGGGGAATCACGGCGCGGAATCAGACAGCCGCGATGAGCCGAGAGTTCATGTTGTCTGGTTGCGAACGGTTGGAACTCCGATGCAAAAGGCCCTTGTGGCCACCCCCTCCACACCCAGTTGAGCACACGGCTGATGGTGTGATCCTGGGCAGATGCAGAGGCCACCGTGGCAGCCGATACAGGCGCTGCCAGAAGATCCTCAATCAGGAGGAGCGATGAAGCAGGAGCCGGGTCTTCCACAAACGCTGGAATAGGGCAACGGCTGAGGGCATCGGCATGGCCCATCGATTTCCCCGGGCGATGGACGAGCCGGTAGTGGTAAGCAGCCAGGAAAACAGTCCATCGCAGCATGCGCGGCGAGAGGACCGGTGGAGTTGGACGATCACCGGCGAGGAGGCCCAGGAGCGGCTTGTGGTCAGTGATGAGGTCAAAAGTCCTGCCGTAGAGGTATTCATGGAACCTCTTCACTCCAGCCACAAGTGCCAGTGCCTCCTTCTCAAGCTGACTGTAATTCTGTTCAGTCAGAGATAGCGTCCTGGAAAAGTAGGCGAGCGGTGCTTCTCTTCCGTCTGGAAAACGGTGACTAAGGACAGCGCCGATGCCAAAAGGTGAGGTGTCACAGGCAAGGACCAGCGGCCTGGCTTCACTGTACTGTACCAGCACACTGTCCGATGAAAGGAGAGCCTTGACCGCATTGAAGGCCACCGTCTCCCGATGACCCCAGGACCAAGGCGTCTTTGTGCTGAGGAGTAGGTGAAGAGGCTCAGCCACCGTGGCTTTGTGGGGCAGGAACATGTTATAAAAGTTCAGCAGCCCCAGGAACGCCTGCAACTCCGTCTTGTTCTTTGGGATGGGGGCCTGCTGGATAGCGCAGATCTTGGATGTGGTCGGGTGAAGGCCGGAGGCATCGATAAGATAGCCCAGGAACTCCACCTGTGGAACGGCGATCTGGCACTTCTCCCTCTTTACCTTGAGCCCGGCCTCCTGGAACCTGGTCAGCACGGTACGGAGGCGCTCGAACAGCTGCTGGTGTGAGTCTGCGGACACCAAGACGTCATCAAAATATGGTACCATGGCCGGAAGCCCTTGCAGGAGACGCTCCATAAGGCTTTGGAAGATGCCAGGAGCCACACTCACCCCGAACTGCAACCGGCGGCAATGGAATGCCCCTCGGTGGGTGACGATCGTCTGGGCTTCAGCAGTGGCATCATCGATGGGCAGTTGTTGATAGGCTTGGGCAAGGTCCAGCTTAGCGAAGACCTTACCCTCACCCAGGGAATGCAGCAGGTGTTGGACAACAGGAACCGGATAAGCGTGCTGCTGAAGTGCCTTGTTGATCGTGCACTTGTAGTCAGCGCAGATTCTCACCGACCCGTCTGGCTTGACAGGCGTGACGATGGGGGTTTCCCACTTGGCGTGGTCAACCGGCTCCAAAACTCCTTGGGCAAACAGCTTGTCCAGTTGTTCGTCCACCTTAGCCTTGAGAGCAAAGGGAACCCGGCGTGGCTTTAGCTTGATGGGGGCGACTTGTGGATCAAGTCTAAAGGAGATGGGCATACCTGTATATTGCCCCAAAGTGCCGTCAAAAACCTCGGCAAAGTCTTTGACCAGACCCTCAGTCTCTGCGTTAGAGATGCAGTTGATGCCGGTGACTTCCAGGCCGAGGGCATCAAACCAGTCTAGCCCTAGGAGGCTTGGCCGCTGACCTTCGACCACCACCAGTCGGAGCAGGCCCGAAAAATTCTTGAAGGCAATCTGGAACCGGCCAACGCCTACCACGGGAATGTCATTTCCCTGGTAGTCTCTCAGGTGCACGTGGTGAGAGTTGAGTTGCCTTTTGGACACTCTGGGTACCAGACTTTTGATGGTGCTCCAAGACACGATGGACAGGGCAGACCCGGTGTCGATCTCCATGTCACATGGAGCTCCTTTGATGAGCACCGTGACGTTCATCTTGCATCGCGTAGGCGAGTTGGTTTGGCCAATCGTGGTTCCAGACGGGCAGCGGCAGTTGGTGAGAGTGAAACAGCTTTCCTTGGCAGACTGGAGTGAAGACTTGGACTTGCGAGTCGGTGAAGGGGGGGTGTCAGACAGGGCCGATCGGCAGATTTCAGCGATGTGGCCCCTTCTGGAACACGTCCGACAGATGGCGTCTCTGAATTGACACCACTTGGCACGGGAATGGTTGCCTCTGCAGCCGGCACATTCCCTTGGACTTCTGTTGGAACTTTCTGCGCTCCCGCTTTGTCTGGTGCACGTCATCGTCTTCACTGGAGGATGCCTCATCACTGCTGGCCTCTTCGTGATGCACTGGAACTGGCTTCCTAGCAAGACGCGGGCTGCTGGCCTTGCGGATCTCCTGGGCGGAGCGTTCAGCAGCTTCCGAGGCCACAGCCTCCTCAATGGCTTTCTGCAGCGTGAGGTCTGGCTTGGCGAGGAGACGCCGTTGCAGATGGATGTCCCGGACCCCGCAGACGATTCGATCCATCAGGGCATCGTCTAAGTCTCGGAACTCACAGTGCATTGCAGCCTGTCGCAGGGCGGTGGTGTAGTTGTTGATTGACTCCCCCTCTGCCTGGTTCCGGTGGTAAAACGCATGGCGGGCAGCAATCTTGGATGGCTTTGGCACGTAGTGGTTGCGGAGCTTCTCTTGGATCGTGTCCCATGGTGTTGCCTGGACTGTTTCAGGAGCAACCCGTCTCAAACACCTCAGGCCCACAGAGGCTGAGGAATAGGCCCCACTTCCGTTCCTTTGATACTGCTGTCAGCTCGTTGGCTTGGAGGTAGCAGTCGAACCGAGCTAGGTAGGAGTCCCATGATTCAGAGGCTGGCGCAAACGGCGGTAGAGGCACAAGTGAAGCCATGATTCCGATGCCGGCGTGAAGGGCGATGGATGGAACACAGTGCTCTAGCCAGAACAGTCAGCTCTGAATTGGTTCTGTTCAGTGATTTCGCTCAGTGATTCAGCTCAGTGATTCAGCTCAGTTCAGAGGATGGCCGCATTTGGCTGTGCTCTGATGTCCATCGATCCCACCCTCGTCGCCAGTGTTAAGTTGTGGGCGAACATATCAGACAACACAGCGATTCTTCCAAAGCAGCTCTTTATTTGTAAGCTGGAACAGAACTGACTGAGGAGCTCAGTCAGCCTGTGGAAAAATTGGTTTCAAATAGGTAAAAATCTAATGTCATAATATATTAAGATTAAGGATTGGGATTAAAAAGGAGGGAAAGAAATTGCTGGATTAACAACCGGAATTGGAATACAAAAGAGGGAGGTATGAGGAAGTCCGGGAAACAAGTAAATGTAAAAGAAGTTATGAAAAGACGGAATTGTTTTTAACTGTTTTTTTTCTTTCTTTATCTTTTTGTATTTTGTATTTTGTATTTTGTATTGTGTATTTTTCTTTTTTCTTTTCAAATTTCTCTTGTTTATTAATGTGATTTTATTTTTTCTGAAACTTTAATAAATATTAATTAAAAAAAAAAAAGAGGAGCTCAGTCAGCCTGCTTATATAGAGCTCCAGAACAATGTAACTGTTGCCATTTTCTAAAACTATCCAATCACTGAACGTCACTTTCGATCCTTCATTTGCATACAAACTATCCAATCACTGAACGTCACTTTTTGATCCTTCATTTGCATAACTATCTACAGTATCCCCCTGCTGGCCCAGGGTGAGAACTTCAGTACATAACACTTCCCACTACCTCCTCTGCCTAGTTTCGTGAGGCGTAAGTGGTTGATACCATCTGCTCCATGAAATCCACAAGGCTCAAGGTAGAGTGAGACACTAGAGGGAACCATAATTAAGATTAAAATGTTTTAAAACAGCCTTCCTCAGCCTGCTGCTCTCCGGCTATTTTGGACTACAACTCCCATCAGCCCCAGCCAGTATGGGTAAGAGTGAGAGCTGGAGGGAGATGTAGTCCAGCCCCAACTGGGAGTGGACATCATGTAGGTGAAAACTCTTTTGGAATGTTTCCAAAGTCCCTTTGTTCTACGATATAAGCCACTTGGAACACTTTTTGTTGAAAAGTAGTTATATGAATATTCTAAACAAATAAATAGGTTACGGTTCTAATGTTTAATCATATACAAATACATGACAGTGCAGGGAAAAAAGTAAAATAGCCATAGAACATGCAGGGTATTTTTTTTAGATGGCATGTTGGACTTAGTCTTAAACTACACTGTAAGTGGAGCAGCATGATTGGGCTTGTAAAATTTTAATTGCTACATGTTGCTTACAGACTCTTAAATGTCAGGTCTCTGCTCAGAGGGGCTCATAATGTATACTTGAATACAATGGGGACAACAGAAGACGGTGAGAAGGGCAAGTGGGAAGAATATGGGTGGTATTCAACTGTTACTCAGAGTAGACCCACTGAAATTAATGGACCTAACTTAGTCATGTTAAGTCACTTCTCTTTGCTGTTTGCTTTTGTGATTTAAGACTTCTGGGAAATTCTTTTTAATATTAACCAAATACCAACAAAGATGAATTGAAGATGTAACAGTTGGCATGTACAGATGAGCAGAGGAACTCACACAAAGGATGTGCAGATCAAGGTGAGATCTTAGGGTACAAAAGCAACTTTGCTGGAAGATGTATTTTATGGGTAAATGGACATAGGTCAGTGACTCTAAAATAATAATTATTGTGATTTATATTCCCCCCCTTTTCTCTGACAGGGACTCAAGATGGCTTTACAGATAAAATAGAAACAACTAAAAGCATAGTGGGGAAGCAATCATTAAAAGCAATTAAACATTAATAGAATTAAAACTATAGATATATGTGATCTCTTAAAAGTTACAAGTAATTCTAATAAAAAACTTTGACTTTAGGGTTGTAACTAGAGTTAGGGAAATCAGATTGTGTTTATGGCTGTTTGTAAGGTAACATGGTTGCCTGAGAGCCCCTTTTGGAGGGCAAGGCCAGAGGATTCCTCCCCAGAGGTGGCAAGGGCCAAAGGAGATCCCTCTCTGGATCTCCATCTAGATGCTCTTAAATGCCTGAAAAGCATCCGGTGCCATCCAGTGTGTTAGTGTCAGACTCTGCATAAAGAATAGCCCAGAATTTGACAGGTGGTACTAAGCTGTACTCTCTTTCACAGAATCATGCTGACGACAAGAAACAGAATGAACTGCTTAGTTGACTCATGCCTAGGAATTGTCTGGGCATGTGAGGGGCAATCGCTGGGCTTGACTCAAATCTCCCCAAGATAACAATGGTCTTTCATGATTTCCCAGTACAGTGGTACCTCAGGTTACATACGCTTCAGGTTACATATGCCTCAGGTTACAGACTCCGCTAACCCAGAAATAGTGCTTCAGGTTAAGAACTTTGCTTCAGGATGAGGACAGAAATCGTGCTCCAGCAGCGTGGCGGCAGCAGGAGGCCCCATTAGCTAATGTGGTGCTTTAGGTTAAGAACAGTTTCAGGTTAAGAACGGACCTCTGGAACGAATTAAGTACCTGAGGTACCACTGTACAGTATTTTGGTCTCAAGTTACTCAAGGGCTTTAAATGTCAACAACAAAATGACACTTTGCTTTTATTTTTATATGAATTCATATTGACTTTTTCTTTCCTGGTTATATCTTATGTAAACTGCTTAAAGATTTCTTTTTACATATATGAACTGGTATAATTTTTATAAATATGCCCAATTTCAATGTCATGAGGTGCCATTTTTTGTGTTCTGCTCTATTACTGCTTTGTTGTATGCTGCTTTCAATGCCATATGGACAAAAATATGTCTTTAAAAATCCATTCAAATAAATAAATAAATAACCCATGCTAAGTTTGCTCTTAATTGCCTGTCTAGGATATATTCTCAGAGGTATGAAGTCTGTACAGATAACTTTTGAAATCTCTCAGGGATATAAAGACTCATGATAATGAGTTTTCAAGTTTTAATTATAAAAATTGTTATTTTCTAGTCACACACAGAGATTGGATTTTATTCTGTTCAGATGGGGGCCTAGACCTGATGGTTCCTCAGGCCATGAAGACAAGAATTAACCACTTGTGATCAGAAACTTGGTTGAGAAGATTGATTCAGCTTTCCATTGTTGCCATTTGAATCAGCAGAGATATTCTGGTCCCCCCCCCCCCAAATTTGTTAACACAGCCTAATTAAGTCAGATGATATAAGAAGCGTTTTTGGTTTTTCATGGTTTTATCAAACATTTGCTGTTTCTTAGACTGGTGTCATAACCAGAAAGGTGTTTTATTTATTCTTTAATTTAATCAAAACATTTGAAATCCCCTCGCGATGTTAGTGGATTAGATCTTCTTATGTTCTTTTAGAAGTGTTCCTAAAGCTGCAATTATAGGCACATTTACTTGGGAGGAAGCCGCATGGAGGTTAATGGAACTTAATTTTAAGGAAATGTGTATGAGATTAGGCTGCACAAGGCTATTTGATTCAGATCCATCAGGCAACCTATTTTCCCTTTCAACAAATGTTATCCAACAGGACACCCCATAAGGTAAATATTTCAAGTTTCTTTTGTATGTATTTTACATTTTTTTGTCAAAAATTTAAACTGTAATATAGCAAGCTGACTTTAGTAATTGATTCTTTTAGGAGAACACCCATCATTTTTTTTCCATTACAGATGTTCACCACCCTATTAATACCACACAATATCATACTATAGTCACATCCACAGCATACATTTAAAGTACCTGGCTATACCCCCCAAATTTGCACTTTCTGAATCAATATGAGAACTGAAACACAGCCATCTTCCAGAACTTGCACTTATCCAAATTTTATGGTGCAGTTCTCTAAGCAAGCAATGTTCACAAAAATGCATATATTAGGAGAAAATATATGTAAAAAGAATATGGAACTGATAATAACATACAAAAATGCATTATATATAGGGAAGGTGCTTGCACAAATGTGAACGTCAGTCAAAACTGCATATAAAATTTATTTTTTAGGAGAAATTCAAACTAAAATGCTGAAGAATTTTCATGAGGATTGTTAAAATAATAATAATGCAAATTGTAGCAGACATGTGGAGAACTGACTTTAAGATGGGGAAAATGAGAACCTGAGAGAACCAAACATGACAGTTTCTTCCATCTGTATTTGGATGTGACCCCTATGACTGTAAGAATTTTTGTGGCAGCAAATAAAACTTAGAGAATGGTATGTCCACTGCTACATGTGGAGTACAACATAAAACAGGACAATTAACAAGAACACATTAGTCAAATATCATGCTTGTTACATCTGATGGTACCAACATGTTTGGAGAGAACGCAATGAATGCTGCTCTAGGAGAAGGGTAATATAAAACAGCAAAGGAGTGGGAATCCTCCTTCAGATGTTACGTTCTTAGCACTTAACTCCTTTCTGGGTCACTTCAATTTGCAAGGAGCACTGGAAGTATGTTGGCACAGTTTACTTACAGTGGTGGCACAAATGCATGGCCCTCCTGCATATGGTTGGAAATCAGCCCTAGCCAGGATGGTCAGGGATGATGGGAGTTGTAGTCCAGCAACATCTGGAGAGTCACAGATTTCCCTAGAACATTTAAATACACTGTATATATGATATTTGCATAGGGGGTGGATTTGTACCACCATTGTATGTAGCAAGATTGGGGTTTCATAGCTCTGCTCCAAGGATACATTTTCCACACAGAGTGTAATTTTCTTCACATAGAAAATGTGTATATTAGGAAAAATTAGAGCCAAGATGCTAATGAAATTTCACAAGGGCTTTTAAATCAATCAATCAATCAATCAATCAATCAATCAATCAATCACAAACTAATGTTGATATATGGAGAACTGAATTTAAAACTGAAAAGGTTTAGAAACAGTGAGAAATTGAATCTGAAATAGTCATCCATCCCTTGTTCAAAGAAACATGAATTATTTGATGACATTATAAAATAAGCATTTCACCATTATAAAATTATCATTCCACCAACAATAATAGTAATGGGATTGAGTCACACTCCAATTAATATAGTTTGGGGGCATCTTTACTATCCCGGCAGATAATTCCACATCTTGGGAAGGATTTACAACGCCATGGTTCCTGAAGATGATAATGAAACGACACCAGAGATCTTCCTCCTGACTGGGCTCTCCAGCCAGCCACTCATGCGCAGGGTGCTCTTTGTCGCGTTTCTCTTCCTCTATCTAATGACTCTTCTTGGGAATGGCCTTATTGTCCTCTTGATCATAGCAGATCCTCACCTCCACACCCCCATGTATTTCTTTCTAGGCAACCTCTCCCTTCTTGACATCTGTTATACTACCAGCACAGTCCTACAGATGCTGGCCCACAGCTTCACGGAGAGGCCCACTATCTCCAATGCCAGATGTTTTGCCCAGATGTGTATCTCGCTCTTCCTTGGGACAACGGAATGCATTCTGTTGGCTGTCATGGCTTATGACCGCTTTGTGGCGATATGCATGCCACTCCACTATACGCTGATCATGAACAGAAGGCTGTGTGGCTGTCTGGCTGTCTCCTCGTGGGTCTTGGCCTCCCTGTTGACCCTTGTACCATCCTTCACCATGAAGATCAAACTATGTGGGCACAATGTCATCAACCATTTTGCATGTGAAGTTCAGGCTGTTGTGAAACTAGCATGTTCTGATATCTCAGCCAATGCAGGTTTCTCACTAGGCAGCAGTGTTTTCACTCTCTTAGTACCCTTTGCCTTCATTTTGCTGACTTACGTTCGCATTAGTCTGGCAGTGCTGAGGATTCGCTCAGCTCAGCGTTGGAGCAAGGCTCTTTCTACCTGTGGCTCCCATCTTACAGTGGTTGGGATATTTTATGGCACAGCTATGGCCATGTACCTAAGGTCACCAGGCGGATCTTCAAACCAGGACAAATTTGTTGCTGTCTTCTATGCTGTGGTCACTCCAATGCTGAACCCTCTGATCTATAGTTTGAGGAACAAGGATGTGAAAGGAGCCTTGTGGAGGGTAATGGGCAGGAAAATGGATCCCTAGCCCCCTTTAAATATATCTGAATACACTTCTTGAGTGATTGAATGCTCTTTTGAATTCCTTTAATGTAATACTTCGTATTTTATAAATAAAATTTGTAGAAATGGTTCAGTTTTTGGAATGCTTATTTCTTTTTTTTGTATTTCATCTTTTTAAAATCTTGTCACAGACACTGCTTTTGTAGCCTTAGGCTGTGATGTGGTTTATAAATTTGTAAAATAAGCATAAACAAATCAGCTCCCCTCATCTCTCACTAGGGGCCATGCAGAGTGGGGTGGAGGAGGAGCTGCCATTTAAGGGCCTAAGAGGGTCAGTAGGGAAGGAGGTGGTCTTTCAGATATTTGGGGCCTAAATCAGTTAGGGCTTTAAAGAATAATGTGAGCACCTTGAATGGGGCCCAGAAACAAACTGGCAGCCAGTACAACGGTTTTAAAACAGTCAATGGAGTATTACCAATCCCCTCTAAGGCAAAGACCAGGTTGAGGGTAAGCCCAGCTACATGTGTTGGACCATCGATGCCCTGAGTCAGCCCCATGGTTGTCATGGAGGCCATGAAGTCCTGAACCAACCCATTTGAGGCATCCTTGACATGGATATTGAAGTCCCCAACAGCACTGCGTGAGACTTATCCAGTATTTCCCGCACAGGTGCATAATGGTCACAGCAGATGAAGGGAGGGCCACAAGAATGCCACAAGGAGACTGTCATTGGGTTGAATTTGTCACTTTGCATTTCTTAGTGCAGAAAGTATTGATCTGATGTGTAGAGATGGTTCTGGAAGCTACTGGAAGCTTCTCTGTGTGAAAGAAGCAAGCAGAAGGTTCATGATGTTTGGATTATTCCTTCAAAGAAGCTGAGTACAGCTGGGCTAAATTAGTTCTGTTATCTCTTTCTGTCAAGGTCATGTTGACTAGAATAATAAGGCCAGAAGGAGCCTGGGCTTCACTTTTTACCTCTCTTTCCTTCTGGTGTAGTGTTCTGTATATAGCATGCTTAGTGTTAAGGCTTTAGTCTTATTATAAGTTAAATTGTAAATTTAAGTTAAGTCTGCTGCAACTGGATTTCTTATGGACAGGGCCAATCCTGATTGTATTGGATTTGTGACCATTATGCTCATTTGCCTTCAGTAGCAGTAAAGCTCTGCTGGATGAAATACAATTGCCTCTGGTCTATTTTTTGGGATTCCTGCAGTGTGTTTAAGTTTTTACTCTGCTAGCTATACATTGGAATCTACTCTGGATCAATATCGATCAGACAGAATTAAGCCACAGCTTTATTGATTACAGGAAACAGTAGGTTTGGCTATGGCATTGGGCATGTACGTATCCTGCATCAGGCAGCCCACCTGCTACCTGATAAGAACCTTTCAGAAGATAAGCTTTATTTTACTAGCCCAAGGCCATGACAGAACCATACAGACACCATCAAAGAAAGAAATATCTATCTATCTATCTATCTATCTATCTATCTATCTATCTCTCATTCTCTCTCTCTCTCTCTCTCTCAACCTCTGCCATTAGAATCATAAAATGCAAGACTTCCAGTCAGATGGTGACAGCGCCAGCAGCCCCAACTGAGTTTCCGATTTTATAGTTAAGTTTTATTGTTTTATGAACTGGTTTTAGTGTTTTATTGTTTTCTTGCTTAATTTTACTGTTTTACTGCTCTGCCACTGCGTTTGCCTGTTGTTTTGCAGATGTTATTGCCTTCACTGCAACTCAATAGTTTATGACTTAAGGTTTCACTGCCAAGTTATTTGCTGACACCTGCAAAATTATTGCAAGACTATTGTGCCTCTACTGCTTATTGACTGCTTGCCTAATTTAACAACAGCAAAGACACCACTTTTGGCTTAGCAGCTAGACAGGACTCCACAGAATCTGGAATTTTTCTGCCCTATATAAGAACAGCGTTTGTTCACTAATATGATCAAAAGGAGGAAAAGGATTGCTTCATCACAGAGCTTGAGTAATCTGCCCAATTCCAAAAAAAGCAGATTAGATGACTTCATTTTTTATTATTTTTAAATAATATTTATTAATTTTCCAACTGTTTAAACACAACAAAGCAGAAAAAGAAAAAAACAGAAACAGAAAAAAACATAAGACTAACAAAACAAGACACAAACCATTTAAAACCCAAAACAATTTCAATATCTTATCTTTCATTCCCTTATTTCCACGACCTCCTCACACCTCCCTTTTTGTATTCCACTTCTGTTAATTGTTTCAGCAATTCCTTTCCATCTTCCTCTGTTTTCTATCCTATAATTATCTTAACATATTCTAACCTTATTTTTCCCTTTAATACTCTATTAATCTATTTATACTTGATTCCTTATAGCATTTCTACTAGAGCCATATAACTTCATTCCAACATTTTTCTAACATTCATTATTTTTACAGTATTTCTATAAATAGTCTTAAACTTTTTCCAGTCTTCTTCCACCGACTCTTCTCCCTGATCTCGGATTTCTGCCAGTCGTTTCCGCCAATTCCATATAGTCCATCAACTTCATCTGCCATTCTTCCCCAATAGATAAATCTTGTGTCTTCCAGTACTTCACAATGAGTATTCTTGCTGCTATTGTTGCATACATGAAAAAAGTTCTATCCTTCTTTAACACCAATTGGCCGACCATGCCCAGGAGAAAGGCCTCTGGTTTCTTCAAAAGGGTATATTTAAATACCTTTTTCATTTCATTATGAATCATCTCCCAAAGTGTCTTAATCCTTGGGCATGTCCACCAAAGGTGAACTCTAATCCTCAAGTTCGTCTGTTTTTCTTTAAGTTCAGTCATAGCAAGCGTCAACTTATGTTCATCAAATTGCCTCTGTAGGGCTGGGGCTCTCTTTCTTTTTCTTTCCAATTGTGTTACTTTACATTCAGTAACAACAGCTTTTCCCCTGGCTTCCTCCGCAGTTTGCCGTATCAAAGTAGGTTCCTGTATCAATTTCTGGGTGGTTTCTGTATTGGTATTATTTATACTTTCTGTATTTAAGTTAATTTTAGTAATTGAAACATCCACTTTCGCATTTATCGTGTCCATTTTCCTGTTAAGCTGAGTGAGTCATTTATCTTATATAATGCAGCCACTAAAGCCTCTTCTGTCGACATTCCTCTTGGTTTTAAATATACTGGTACAAAGGCAGCAACAGAAGGAGCAGGGGGGCCTGATGATGGACCTCTCCTGGATTGTTGCCAAGTCCTCCCAGACCTTAATGTTTTGTCAGCAGTTGACTGGTCTGTTTTTCCTCTTCCATTTACCATAACACATAAAAGATTCAAGGTCAGTCCCAGAGTCTCACGGTTTTTAACTTGCAGCTGGAAATTCCCCTAGCCCAGCTCTTGTAAAGCAACCAGTTTCAAAGGCTTCCACTAGGGGGAAACAGTTTCTATTTGTAATAGTCAATAGTATCCTCTTTTAAACAATCCAAAATTAGTTTCAAATTAGTTTCAATTTTCAGTTACTTTTACTCCTTTTTAAGCAGCCGGAGACAGTAGAAACAATGTATTTCTCTTGTTTAACTAGCTGTCAATGAACGTTCTAAACGCTGTCAATGAACATTCCAAAAGACGTCAGTCCTGCTAGCAGCCCGTTTCCAGGGTCAGAGCGGCGGTGTTTTAAATCTCTTTGCTCTCTCCCACAGGCATACTCAGTCTGCAACTTCTCCTGCCTCCAAGAGGGGGTTTAATGTTCTTTATTGATGGAAATTTAATCTTTTACACTTTCCAGGACTCCAGCTTGCAACTTCATTGCCTCAGTCTATTTACAAAAGGGGAAGGCGGACTTCCTGTTTTGAACCTCCCCGTTACGGTACCAAATTAAACATTTAGAAATCCAATTCTTCCACTTCAGCTCTATTCACGGGTAATTACTTTAAAGTCAAATTGTCCACAGGAAAAGGTCAGCGCTCTCCGGCAACAGCTATGCGGCTTCGCTCCGTGGAAGAAGCAGACGATTCGATGCACCGCACTGCTCACCCCACGTCACTCCAGAGCCCCAAAAACCAGGGTTTCCCACGAGTGGGAGAGGTGCAAAAGGAGCCCACCAAATCCCACGCTCACAGGCTTCTCCCGCCTGTGATTTTAACGGGTCTCTGCTTGATTAGATGACTTCATTGTGGGACACCTTCCCTCTGATCTGGGTTACCTATATCCAATAGGTTTATACTAAGTGCTCAAGGGGACACGGGTGGCGCTGTGGGTTAAATCACAGAGCCTAGGACTTGCCGATTGGAAGGTCGGCAGTTTGAATCCCCGCGACTGGGTGAGCTCCCGTTGCTCGGTCCCTGCTCCTGCCAACCTAGCAGTTCGAAAGCACATCAAAGTGCAAGTAGATAAATAGGTACTGCTCCAGCGGGAAGGTAAACGGCGTTTCCGTGCGCTGCTCTGGTTCGCCATGACCCGGAAGCTGTACGCCGGCTCCCTCGGCCAGTAAAGTGAGATGAGCATGCAACCCCAGAGTCGTCCACGACTGGACCTAATGATCAGGGGTCCCTTTACCTTTACCTAAGTGCTCAAGAGATCCAGCACTTAGCCAACACTCATGATGTACAGAGTTTCTTTAAAGCCACAAAGACCATCTATGGGCCAATAAATCATGGCATATGCCCCCTACACTCAGCAGATAGTACCACACTTCTAAAAGATAAAGAAGCTATTGCACTGCTCTGGAAGGAACACTACCAACATCTCCTTAACTGCATCTCCCCCGTAGCTGCTGAGGTCCTCTCACAAATTCCACAAAAACAAATTAGAGACGAGCTTGCAGTATCTCCAAATCTAGGAGAGTTGTGTACAGCTATTAACCAAATGAAAAACAACAAAGCCAGTGGACCTGATGGGATACCTGCTAAAATCTTCAAAGTGGGTGGAATCGAACTTGCACAACAACTTCACAAGCTAATCGAAAAAATCTGGGAAAGAGAAGCGATCCCAGCAGATTTTAGGGATGCCAAAATTATCAATCCTGGGAAACACTGGCCTGCAAGCACTCCAATTGGAGAACAGCCTTCACCAAAGGTGTCATGGGCTTTGAAGATGCTCGAACTCAGGACGCAAGGGAGACCTGTGCCAAGAGGAAGGCACGCTTGGAAAATCCACACTGTGATCAACTCCCGCCTGGAAACCAATGTCCCCACTGTGGAAGGACGTGTGGATCCAGAATTGGCCTCCACAATCACTTATGAACTCATTGTTAAAACCATGTTTATGGAAGACAATCTTACTCGGCTACGAGGATCGCCAAAGAAGAAGACTCTTGGCAGAGTAGTGGGCAACTCAAGAGGTGAGGGCAACTCAACAAGAGAACATTGAAGCCACTATGTTACCATGAAGCCTTGTTGATTCACCTCCCGTGGACAAGCCAATACAGTGGTACCTCGGGTTAAGTACTTGCCATATTTTTCGCTCTATAAGACGCACCAGACCACAAGACGCACCTAGTTTTTGGAGGAGGAAAACAAGAAAAAAAATATTCTAAATCTCAGAAGCTAGAACAGCAAGAGGGATCCCTCTTGCTGTTCTGGCTTCTGTGATAGCTGCGCAGCCTGCATTCGCTCCATAAGACGCACACACATTTCCCCCTTACTTTTTAGAAGGGAAAAAGTGAGTCTTATAGAGCAAAAAATACGGTAATTCTTTCCGGAGGTCCGTACTTAACCTGAAACTGTTCTTAACCTGAAGACCACTTTAGCTAATGGGGCCTCGTGCTGCTGCCACGCCTCTGGAGCACGATTTCTGTTCTCATCCTGAAGCAAAGTTCTTAACCTGAAGCACGATTTCTGGGTTAGCGGAGTCTGTAACCTGAAGCGTATGTAACCTGAAGCGTATGTAACCTGAGGTACCACTGTACCTTTTGAACATGAAGCAGATCTACTGTCTGAGTTGTGCCTATTAAGTGTGCTAACACTACAATCTATCAGCACTAAACAGGAAAAGGTACTGAATTTATCATCCAAACTAGTGTCATGGCCTCAAGGAGAGACATGGATTCCTGATAGGAACCTGGTGGGGTCGAACTTATGCTGGGGAGCCACCCCCCAACATGGATTGGATGCCCCAACCCTGCACAGGCTGCCATTGGGAGGGGTGTTTTGGTTCATTGGCCCCCAGTGGACTCTCGGACAGAGTCACCCCACCTGGACCCCTCTCACAGGACCCCTGTGATGAAGTATCCAGACCAATGCCTTATTTGCCAAAGTTGTGAAAGCTGATGTGAGGTAGGCAAAAACCTGCAAGCTGCCCAGTTTGCTTGCAGGAGAAAATTCCCTTGGCCCTGGATATGGCGACTGAATAAACCATAGCAAGGCTCATAGGCAACGTGCCCACTCCCCCCCCCCCCATGGACTAGGTGGGTGGGTGGAAAAATCCCACGACGATCCTCACACCTGGCCGCCCTCTTAAGTAGGGTAGGGGCAGGCTGCTTGCAACCCCCAAGCCCCTGCCTCCGATTGGCTAAGTGGGCACTGCCCACTGTTCCCTGGGGGCCTGATGTGGCTGGAGGTGGACAGCGCCAGCCAGTTAGCTTGTAACACACATGGGAAACATAAAGCGTAGATTAAAGGAGACCCCAGCTGGATATCTGAGAATCTGGAGATTTGGAAGATCTAAGTCAATCATTCCAAATCAATTAGAGAAATAAAAATAGATCTATCAAACTGGGAAAGTTTAAATTTCTCAGGGGCAGGAAGAAGCTCTTTTATAAAAAATAAAGATATTCTGTTTCTAATACTATTATATTAAACAGGAGTGTCAGGTGGTGATGTGGTTGCTCACGAGTAACCAGGCAGGACTCCAACCTGTCTTTTGCAGGTTTTTATTTGTGCAGCTATTTACAGTGCAGAAGCCCAAAGTTCATGTCCATCTTAGTCTATTGCAGATTCCAGGAGTGGCCCCTTCTGGTTTCTCCCCCAGCATGAATACTTAGACACCCCAAATCTCTGCCTCCCCTCCTTACACTTCACCCCTCTGCTCAAACTGGGCGACAGAAAGGGAGTGCCTGTTTCCTGGCTGGCCAGGCTAGGTGAGGCGCTTGGGCTCTCAGTTGGCTTCCCCCTTCCCCCTCTGCTGCACTGGAGGTGTGGCTTTCCCCACCGTTGGACAAGGAGCTGCTTCTGCTCCTCAGAAGCGTTGGAGGCTCTCTGTATCCCCCTGCTTCCCTCCCCTGTCCCAATGGCACTCCTCTGACAATGAGTGACAAATGAATGAAAAATAGGAATATCTAAGTTTTTTATGGGCATGCAGGAAACTCAGAATTACATCAAAAACATTCTGTCAACAAATATCAGGTGGTTTGATATTTCCTAACATATAATGCTATTACAACACAGCCATGCTCAGAATATAAAAAAAGGTTTGCAAAATTTGCTGTCAACAAAAATAAAACAAAATGGTTCACCTGCTGAAATAAAAAAATCCCTATGCCATAAAAATAGGAGAGAACATACAGTTTTTTAATGAAACTCTGTCACTCCAAACATTTATATGATTTGGAAAAGGTTTCAAATTAAGTCAAGTCCAGAGCTGTCACTGCTTGCTGCAGTTTCCTTCAATTCTGGATGTAGATGGGGGGGCACTTCTAGGGGACATGAATCTCTGGGAGGGAAACTGGTTAACAGAACTGAGAGCTATAATGGAACAGGGCTGGTTAAATGTCATTAACAAAAAAATATGGGTGAAGGACATCATTTTCCCTCGAGTATCTTCAGATCAGACCTATGCTAATAAAAGTAATTGAAAGCTATGGCCTTATCATCATGTTTTGATACTTATTCTGATATTTTCCTTCCAACCAGTTTCCAAAAGGCACCCTTCACATCCTTGTTTCTCAGGCTGTAGATCAAAGGGTTGAGCATAGGTGTCAAAACTCCATACGTTAGAGATATGAGCTTGTCCTTTTCAGAAATCGATTTCCCTTGTGGCCTCAAGTACATGATCATGATTGTGCCATAGAAGACACTGACGACAACAAGGTGAGAGCTGCAGGTGGAAAAGGCTTTCTTGCGACCCTGTGCTGAACGGATGCGCAGTACAGCCAGGCCTATGCGCCCATATGTCACAACTATGAAACCAAAGGGTGGTATTAGGAGAAAAAGGCTGGAAATTTGCATAAATAACTCACTGATATGTGTATCTGAGCAAGCCAATTTGAGGAATGACTGTAACTCACATGCAAAGTGGTTGATGATGTGTCGGCCACAGAAGTCAGTAGGCCGCAACAGGGCTGTGGCTATGGTGTAGAGGAAGCAAAGTGTTACAGAGACAGCCACCAGGGCTATGCAAACTCTCCAGCTCATGATCTGCATGTAGTATAAGGGTTGGCATATAGCCACCAATCGGTCATATGCCATGATGGCCAGGATGATGCATTCTGTTGCGACAACTAACAAACCAATGTACATCTGCGTCAGGCATCCGGAGAAGGAAATTGTGGGCATGTAAATGAAGCAGTTGACCAAGACATTTGGAAGTACATTGTTAGTAACGATAAGGTCAAGTGATGAGAGGACACAAATAAAGAAATACATGGGAGTATGAAGGTCAGGATCCTTTATACTCAGCAGAATAATAAGTCCATTGCCAAGCACACTAATGAGGTAGGCAATCAAGAGGAACCAAAAGAATACAGCCTGAGCTCTGGGGTATTCGGATAATCCAATCAAGATGAACTCAGTCACCACAGTCTCATTTTCAGCAGCCATAACATTTTCCTGCAGTGTGAAAAGAATGAAGTAATTAGAAATATGTCACAGCGGGAGGTATGCAGTTTTGGTCATCCCTAAAAAACTGCTCTATCCAAGACAGAAGACCTCGCCAAGACAAATGTATGGACCATGGGTGCCTATTTTGCTTTGCTTTGAGTTTTGAAGATATCTGCTGTGTGTTGTTTTTCAATTTTTCTTGTGCTGTTTTTATGGTATATTGCCCTAAGAAACTTTCGTAGAAGGCAAGATGATAACAATGACTGAATCATAGAATCATAGAGTTGGAAGAGACCACAAGGGCCATTGAGTCCAACCCCCTGCCAAGCAGGAAACACCATCAGAGCACTCCTGACATATGGCTGTCAAGCCTCTGCTTAAAGACCTCCAAAGAAGGAGACTCCACCACACTCCTTGGCAGCAAATTCCACTGTCCAACAGCTCTTACTGTCAGGAAGTTCTTCCTAATGTTTAGGTGGAATCTTCTTTCTTGTAGTTTGGATCCAGTAGTAGACTGCTACGACTACTACTAAATAAAAAATTACTGAAATTCAAAACCCACATTAATACACATCTAAGAAATCAAAAAGGTTATCTGGAACACCCAGATAGCCATTCCTTCTTCAGTAGATACCCTGTCCAAAAAAAAAAGAATTATTGTGGAAGTCATAAACTCATCGACAAATATCTGAGCATGTGTTTAAAGGACAAAAAAATCAAACAAACCACCCACTGTGGAAATGCTTTGCCTCCACTGTCAGTCAGAAGTTGTAAACTTACAGTCTTACGTATAAGTGGCTCATTTCCCAAAATGAAATTTTAACACAAATTTCTCCCAACCTTTCAGTTCTCTTTAGTCAGGTAATCAAGAAAATAAAGAAAGAAGAATTGAGATAGGATTGCCATCTCAATTGTAGGTAGTCGCACAAACCAGCTTGAATAGCTATGTCTCTGATTCTTCATCAGGCCAAGTGTTGGAAACAGTATGAATACTACTGAGAAGTCAAAGCATGGTCTTCCCCTTTTCACTAAAATGCTTACCTGCTGGTACTTCTCCTAATGTTGATCTGAGAGGTTTATAACAATATGCTCTCCACAATACATCACAGACCCAGAACACAAAGAAGTTGTAGAGGGAACGTTGGTGTTAAGAGAGTGATGTTTGTTTTTAAGGTCAGTGAAATGAATTGAAATCTAGTTCACTTCCATGTAAACGGAAGAGTCCTGCTTAGTCCTTGAGATAAAGAAGGTATTTTGCTCTCATTTTCTTTCCCTTTTTTGTAAGCTGCATTTGTATTATAGGTCCTTCTGGAGTAAGTAAGGTAAGCCCAGAGGTGAATCCCACAAGTAATGGTATGTAATTGAACCCAGGGGGAACATACTTCACATTAACATTTTGGACTTTATTATTTCATAATCTAAATAAGACTATATTGTGAACAGTGTAGGAAGGAGGGAAATTATATGGTAAGCACCACCAACATATTAGCAACATAAATTTACTTTTCTTCTGCCTCACTATTCTTTCTTCCAATCTTTCATTTGATGGAATGTACTCCCCTCACAATGGGATGCGGGTGGTGCTGTGGTCTAAACTACAGAGCCTAGGGCTTGCCAATCAGAAGGTCAGCGGTTCAAATCCCCGCGACGGGATGAGCTCCCATTGTTCGGTCCCAGCTCCTGCCCACCTAGCAGTTCGAAAGCATGTCCAAGTTCAAGTAGATAAATAGGTACCGCTCCGGTGGGAAGTTAAACGATGTTTCCGTACTGTCAGGGAACTGCCATCGGAGCTAGAAGCGGAGGGAAGGCTCCAGAGGGATGCCGGAGAGGGTCCCAGTAGGGAGAGAGGCAGCCCGTCCGCTGGGGAAGGAAATCAGCGTAACACCAGTAGAGAAGGGGGGCAGATGGGGGAATCGGAGAGGAGGCTCCAAGACTCCTCGCCGGAGACCAGCAGAGAGAGTACGGGTCCTCTGCTGCCCACACCCTCCCTGCGCAGAAGGCTTCCGCGCAGGGAGACTAGGCGGAGACTAGGCGTCAAAGAACTTTTGTGCTGGAAGAAGTTTAAGAAACGCCCACTGACGGATTCTGCCAGCGACTGAGACAGCCATGGAGCTAGAGGCTGTCCGGTCAGAAAGGGTTCAACCAGATAACCTAGCCAGGAGTGGCGGCAACTTACGCACGAGCAACTCCTAAACCCATTACAGCAATCCGTCAGTCACCGACGTTGCTTGTGCGCAGCTCCAGAGAGGCAGCACGATGAGCCAGACCAGGGGAGCCGGAGAGATGGAGCAAGCAGCTGGAGTGCAAAGTCTGGTAGAGAGAAACCGAGACTTGGAACAGCATGTAGCTCTCCTGACGGCGCGGCTGGACGAAAGACGCACTCAGGATGCACAGGTCAGACCCACCCCCATCGCAAGGAAGGTACCGGGGCTGGTACAATGCATTCCGAACGGAAATAGAGTACGCTTTGGAACTGCAGCATGATGACTTTGCTGATGATGGGGAAAAGGTAGCCTACATTGTGGGGCATCTGGAGGATGGGGCACGCGAATGGATCAGGCCCCTTATGGCGACACAAAATCATGCCTTGAAGGACCTTAAGAAATTCTTCCAGGCGATGAATGCGATGTATTCTAGTGAATTGGAGCAAAGTGTGACTCGGCGGGAACTGATGGGGTGCAAGCAGGGGAGCCAGTCAGTTAGAGACTACTGGTTGCGCTTTGCAATGTTGATCCACCGGCTCGGGTGGGATCTGGACTCGGAACTGATTCAAATGCTGTTTGAGGAGGGGTTGTCCCCAACGGTGAAGGACGAGCTGTCCTGCGCGCCCCGCCCACAGTCGATGGATCAGCTGACCAAGGCTGTGCTTGCGATTGGAGTGCGTCAGGAAGCGCGGGCTCAGGAGAAACACGAAGTGAGAGGGGAACGCTACCATGACTACCGCATTCCTGAAATACCAAGACAGCTTTCCCAGGCGGCTGAGCCAATGGAAATAGATGGCGCGCGAGAGAGAGAGGTTTCAAACTCCAATGAAAGTCGCAAGAGGGAGGGGAAGGATTGGAAAACCACCAAGAAGTGTTTCCTCTGTCAACGGCCGGGACATTTTGCCAGGGTCTGCCCTCAAAGAAAGGCCTGGCAAGGGATGGTGGGGGCTGCTGGCTGTGAGGAGAAGGGGGAGGAAGGGCAGGCGCAGGGAAACAACAACGCCTGGCTGCCAACCAGCGGGGCCAGCAGCCAGGCCAGCAACCAATAGAAGTGCCCCAGCCTGACCCCACCAGGGCAGCTATAGCCATAGCAGTGGTGCTAGAACTCCCGAATGGGCACCCAGTCAAGGTTGAGGGGCTGCTGGATTCGGGCAGCTCCTGCAATTTCTTCAGCAGGGATTTCACTTTGGAGCACCAACTACACTTGCTACCCCTGGATTTCCCCTTGCAAGTGACCACCATCGATGGCAGGGAACTTCTGCGAGGGGAAGTGACGCACCAGACCCCACCAATGCGAATGAGGGTTTCCAGGCACACGGAGACCATTGCCTTTCACGTGGCCACACTGGCAGGACCCCCGATAATACTGGGGATGAGCTGGCTGGCACTGCATGATCCAGTAGTGTCAGAGCTGCTTCCAGATCCTAGCTCACAGAGGATCACGCTAGCCAGCGATCATTAAACAAAAGTCTTTATTGAGTTACAGTTTCCATTCTCAAGCTGCTGCGTGCAACTCTACGTCTCATGCTTAGACCGGCGAAGCTCCGTCTGAGTCTCCGCCCTTTGTACACCAACTTAATATCCTAGCCCTGCTCCACCTTTTCCGCCTGACTGTTCTTCTCTGGGTCCCTCTGCCCCCCCGGGGTCTCTTCCTTCCGGGATTCCTCTGACGCTGACGCTGACTCCCCTGACTCTTCTCCCTCCTTTCGGCGGGCTTTAGGACCTGGCTCCCTTTCCGGGCTGCCTACTGCGCCACCTTCCTGTGCATTTGAACTCATGCGCGCGCCCAACCTTCCACCTTCCGTCTGACCGTTTCTTCGCTCCTCGATGGGGGTGTGGCCACTCCTGACTCGTGCCCTCCCCCCTGTTGTGAGTTGCCAGCGCTTGATCCCTGGCGCCCTTCCTCTTCCCTGCTCTCTGGCGGTGACGTTGGTCCCGATTTCCAACTGCTCCCTTCTGAGTCCCCTCTGGCTCTATCTTCCTGGGGTGTCCCCCTAGGCTCCCCCCTTGCCCTGGCCACTGGTGCTCCTTTCTGTGAATCTTCTGATTCACTGGAAAGACTCGGAGATCTCGGGTCGTCGTCATCACTCATCTTTTCTTCTGCCTCCTCCCCTCGCTCTCTGTTTCCTCCCTTGCCCTTGCCTCTGCTCCTGAACCCCTGACATCCATCCCCCTCGAAGCCCCCTCTTCCCCCTCCCTCCTTCCGGTGCGGGATCTGGGTGCTGCCGTGTCAGGGGACGAATGTCGGATACAGTTCGCTTCCCGTGGCGGGCCGCCATCTGAAGTCTTCCGGTTCTTCCTCCCTGCTCTCGCTGACGACGGTCACCTCCGCTTCCATCTCTGTGCCGCCGTGCTCGAAACCCGGGTCGTCCCCGAAAAGTCCATGTCCGTCTCTCCTCGTTGCCTTCTGGAGACGTTGCTCGTCCTGGACCCTCCAGCCACCTTCTACGGAACTGCTCCTCTGGTCGATCATCCCACCAATACGAGGGTTCTGAAGCAGATCCTGAGGGTGACTCCTCCGGGGAACGGGCGTCTCGTGTCGGTTCCTCGTCCGAGTCGAACCCCCGGAACGTGCTGGCTGAAAGCGTGGGCGTGAAAAGCCAGTCGTCGAAAAGTCTGCTGGCATTGGCCTATGTGGGAAGAGGGCATGAAACTCTTCTTTGAGCAGAGGTTCGTCTAAAGCGTAGCCCGGCACCCAGCTGTTGGCACTGGCCGGGGTGCCCTCCTTGGCGAGAAGGTATTCTACCCCTCTTCCCCCCATCTGGAGTCCAAAATCTCCGTGACTTCGTTGATGCGCTCCTCCCGTGCCACTCCCCCCTGCCCGGTTCTCTCTCGGAGCGGACCCGGTGCCGTTCCTGGTTCCTGAAACCTGTGAGGTGCCTTGTAGGGAGTGAGCACCGATCTGTGGAACACCGGATGCATTCTGGAACCCTCCGGAAGAGCCAGCCTGAAAGCCACCGGGTTGACCTGTTCTTCGACTCTGGTAGGGCCCCAGTTGTTTATGCCCTAGTTTCTTCTTCGCCAACGACCTGGCCGACACTGCGTGGGCTGCTAACCAGACCCAGTCTCCCACATGGATCTCTTCGCCAACCCTTCTGTGTTTGTCCGCTTGTACCTTGTATGCGTGTTTAGCCAGCTCCAGGTGCCGCCGCAGCTGATCGTGGACCTCCTGCAACTCCGACGCGAATGCATCTGCTGTCTGCGGCTCCCTCCCCCATTCTTTCCAGTCCCGGGAAGGTTCTGGGGTGCCTCCCGTTGTTGGCGAAGAACGGCGTGACCCCCGTGGACACGTGCTTCGTGTTGTTGTAGGCGAACTCGGCGAGAGGCAGGTAATCCACCCACGTCGCAGGCTGTTGATTCGCATAACATCTCAGGTACTGCTGCATGATGGCATTGACTCCGCTCCGCTTGCCCATTGGTCTGTGGGTGTCTAGCCGACGCCAGGTTGATCTTGACGTTCAGGAAGCCCATCAGCCTCTGCCAGAAGTTCGAGATGAACTGTCGCCCTCGGTCGGACAGAATAGACCGCGGCAGACCGTGAACCTTGAACACGTGGTCTATGAACAGTTTGGCGGTTTGTTCCGCCGTGGCCACCTTCGCACACGGAATGAAATGTGCCATCTTGGAGAACAAGTCCACCACCACCAGCACAGCCGTCTTGCCCCTCGAGCTGGGCAGATCCGTGACAAAGTCCAGGGCCACTCTCTCCCATGGTTCGAACGGAGTTTGCAGCGGTTCCAGCAGTCCGGCCGGCGGTCTGTGCACTGGTTTGGCCCTCTGGCAGGTGTCACACCTCGCCACGTAGTCCGCGACTTCCCTCTCATTCCTGGCCACCAGAAGTCTCTGGCTACTAATTCCACCGTTTCTCCTTGCCAAAGTGCCCGGCAGTGGGCGCGCCGTGCAGCTGCTGCAGTACCTTGGCGCGAAGTTCGTCTCCCGGCACGTAGATGGCCCCTTTACGGATGAGCAAACCATCTCGCAGCTGGAACTCGTCGGTCGCTGCCGTGCCCCTGTGCGCCTCTGCCATCTTTGCTTGCGCGAAGGAGTCATCCTGCAACGCTCGTCGCACCGCCTCCAGGTCAACTGTCGCCGCCGTGCACGCCCACACTGTCGGTGCGAAGATGTGCATGGCGGCCGCTGGCGTTGCCTCCTCCAAATACTGTGGCTTACGGGAGAGAGCATCCGCCATGATGTTGGTGTCCCCCGGGACATACTCTATTCGGAAGTCGAAATTCGCAAAGAACTCAGCCCAACGTATCTGCCTCTGGTTCAGGAACTGTGCCGTGCGCCAGTGCTCTAGATTCTTGTGGTCCGTGCAGACCTGCACCGTGTGCTTGGCGCCGATCAGGAAGTGCCTCCACGCTTGAACGCTGCATGAATGGCCAGCAACTCCCTGTCCCAGATGGTGTAGTTCTGTTCGGACTTGCTGAGCTTCCTTGAGTAAAACGCTCCCGGCCTCCAAACCCCTGCGGGTCCTTCTGCAGCAGGACTGCTCCCACGGCTCTGTCCGAAGCGCCTGTCTCCACCCTCATCGGCCTGCTGGGGCTGACATGAAGCAGTTGCTCTTCCGACGCGAAGAGACGCTTGAGTGCCTGGAAAGGACTGCTCCGCCTGCTCTGTCCAGATGAACTTCTTTTCTTGGAGCTGAGCGTGTCCGTGATGGCCGCTGTCTGCATGGCAAAGCCTTTGATAAACTTGCGATAGAAGTTCGCAAAGCCGACAAACCGTTGGACCTCCTTCCGGTTGCGTGGGCTTTTCCAATCCAACACTGCTCGGACCTTGGTGCTGTCCATGGCGAGCCCTTTATCAGACAACTTGTAGCCCAGGAAATCCACCTCCGTCACGTCGAATTGGCACTTCTCCAGCTTGGCGTAAAGCCTATGTTGCTGTAGCCTGCTCAGCACTTCCTTGACGTGCCTGTCATGCTCCTGCTGCGATTCCGAAAAGATCAGGATGTCATCCAAGAAACAGACGCACGTCTTGTAGAGGAGCCCCGCCAACACGTGATGCATGAAAGCTTGAAAAACGTGGGAACCATTTTGCAATCCAAAAGGCATAACTCTATATTCGTAGGTGCCCAGGGGCGTGAACATGGCTGTCTTCCACTCATCTCTTTCCCTCATGCGAATGAGGTTGTACGCCCCTCGCAGGTCCAACTTGGTGAACACGCTGCCCTTCCGTACCTTTGCGAGGAGGTCGTCGATTCGGGGCATGGGGAAGTCCGATGGCTTGGTCACGCTGTTCAAAATGCGATAGTCCACTACAAGTCTTTCTGGGGCGTGTCCCGCTTCTTAACAAAGAATACCGGACTGCCCCCGCTGCCTTGGACTCTCGGATGAAACCGCGCTCCAAATTATGATCTATGAACTCTTTGAGTTCCTGCAGTTCGTCCTCAGACATGGAATACAACTTCCCTTTGGGCAGCGCCGCCCCGGCAGCAGGTCAATTCTGCAGTCATATGGTCTGTGGGGGTAGCCTGTCTGCCTCCTTCTCACAGAAAACCTCCAAAAATGCTGCGTACTTGTGGGGAACCGCTTGCAGCGTGCCTAGCTGCAGCTGTGACTCCTCTTCCTCTCCTTCCTGCCGGGGCACGATGCAGTGTTCAGCGCAAAAGGAAGAGCCGAAGGTCAGCTGCCTCTGGTACCAAGCCAGCGTCGGGCTGTGCTTGTCCAGCCAACTCATGCCCAATACAATGGGCGTGTCCGATAGTTGAGTGACATTGAAGCTGATGATTTCCCTGTGATTCCCAAGTCTCATCACCATTGGTGGCGTCTGCTTCACCACTTGCCCCCCTAGCAGCTCCCTGCCATCCACCGTGACAACCTGCAGGGGCAGCGTGGCAGGCAGCAACTGTATAGCGTGCCGGTCGACAAAGTCCTGCCCTATAAAGTCCGCATTGCTTCCGGAGTCAATGGTGATTGGCACGTCCATGGTGATGCCATTGGGCAGCTGGAGCGACGCGGTGAGCCTCACTACTGGTTTGGGCGGGAGGGGGTCCATGGGCTGTAAAATCTCTGGGGACTGCTTCACTGACACGTCTGGCTGGGCCCCAGTGCCTCTTTCTCCAGCCAGACTCCGTCGTTTCCCTGCCGTGGTTCTCCTTGCTGCGTTGCTGCAGTTACCATTGCTGAGGCTGCAGTGTGCTTGTGGAGCCTCTGGGGACACTCTTTCGCCATATGCTGTGGATCATCGCAGATGTAACACTTCCTGTTCCCTCTAGGAGGCTTCGCTCACTGCTGCCGGTGCTAGGGCTCTGGCTGCTGACTGAGCCCTTGCACCTCCAACCTCCATAGGTTCCGCCCCTCCTCCTGGCGGAGGCGTGGATTGCGCACGCGCTGCTTCTCTGGGAAGGAAGGAGGAGCCCCTGGCTGGTTCGCGCCCTCCACGCCCTTCGTCCCTGCTCCACGGACGTTCTTCCAGCCGCACCCCCACCGCCAGCGCCCTCTGAACGATCTCCTGCGTGGTCCGGGGTCTCTCCCCAATCGAAAATACATCTTTAACCGAGCAGTGCAATACCTCCAAAAACATGACTCTTAAAGGAGACGAATCTCTGTCCCATTCCAGAGCACTGACCAAAGCGAAAAGCGGGCATGGTACTGCCTTACGCTGGCCCTCCCTTGCTTCAGTCCATGTATCTGCTGCCGAGCAAGATCCACGTCAATGCTTGATAAAAAGCACCCATCCATCGCTTTAATAAAGGCATCCGCATTTTGGAGCGCCGGATCCTTATCTCTCCACAAATTGCGCAGCCATGCTTTAGCATCTCCATGCAAATGGGACATGATGAATCCCACCTTCTCTTGCTCATCTCTAAAGTCTTTGTTCAGCAGTTGCAGTGCACACATTACATCTGCTCTAAAGTTGGGGTACTGTTGCAAATTCCCATCGAAGTGAGAGACCAGACCGCCTGTTCGTCTCCCCAACCCAATCCTCCGGTTTGGGTGTCAGTTGCCCTTGCTTCGTAAGCACTTCCAACCTGACCTGGAGATCCCTGTAGGCGGCAGCTGCGTCCTCCTCTCTCTTCCTGGATGCAAGAGCCTCGGCATTCAGTCGTGACACTGCTTCTCTGAGTTCCGCTATCTGCTGTTCGGCCGTCATATTGTCTGCCGTTCGTGAGCTCGCTAGTAGGCACCCGCTTTCTCTCCTCTCCGCGAGGCCGTAGATGCCCACAATTTAGGAGACGGAGCTTACTGTCAGAGCTGCTTCCAGATCCTAGCTCACAGAGGATCACGCTAGCCAGCGATCATTAAACAAAAGTCTTTATTGAGTTACAGTTTCCATTCTCAAGCTGCTGCGTGCAACTCTACGTCTCATGCTTAGACCGGCGAAGCTCCGTCTGAGTCTCCGCCCTTTGTACACCAACTTAATATCCTAGCCCTGCTCCACCTTTTCCGCCTGACTGTTCTTCTCTGGGTCCCTCTGCCCCCGGGTCTCTTCCTTCCGGGATTCCTCTGACGCTGACGCTGACTCCCTGACTCTTCTCCCTCCTTTCGGCGGGCTTTAGGACCTGGCTCCCTTCCGGGCTGCCTACTGCGCCACCTTCCTGTGCATTTGAACCTGCGCGCGCGCCCAACCTTCCACCTTCCGTCTGACCGTTTCTTCGCTCCCCGATGGAGGTGTGGCCACCCTGACTCGTGCCCTCCCCTGTTGTGAGTTGCCAGCGCTGATCCCTGGCGCCCTTCCTCTTCCCTGCTCTCTGGCGGTGACGTTGGTCCCGATTTCCAACTGCTCCCCTCTGAGTCCCCTCTGGCTCTATCTTCCTGGGGTGTCCCCCTAGGCTCCCCCCTTGCCCTGGCCACTGGTGCTCCTTTCTGTGAATCTTCTGATTCACTGGAAAGACTCGGAGATCTCGGGTCGTCGTCATCACTCATCTTTTCTTCTGCCTCCTCCCCCTCGCTCTCTGTTTCCTCCCTTGCCCTTGCCTCTGCTCCTGAACCCCTGACAAGTAGTGTCATGGCATCAGCGGTCAGTCACCTTTGGGTCAGCTTACTGCTTGGAACACTGTCTGGGGGGGCACCCCAAGAATGACAGTGGCCAGGGTGGCTGGGCTGGCAGTGGAAACAAAGGGGGAGGTGCCACCACAATATGCTGACCTAAAGGAAGTCTTCAGCGAGAAGGAGGCGGATAGACTACCCCCCCATAGGCCCTTTGACTGTCAAATCAACTTACTCCCAGGGGCTCAGCTGCCAGTGGGTAAGCTGTATGCCATGTCGGACAGGGAGATGCAGTAGTTGCGGCAGTTTATTGACAAGAACCTGAAGAGGGGGTTCATAAGGGAATCAAAGGCGGTGGGGGGCAGTCCGGTGTTCTTTGTGGACAAAAAAGAGACTAATCAGCCTAGATTAGTCGTAGATTACAGGGCGTTAAACCTGGTATCAGGACCCGTGACCTTCCCAATGCCCAGGATTGACAACATTTTAACACGGGTGATGCAGGGGAAAATTTTTACCAAGGTGGACCTCAGGGGAGCGTACAAATTGATCAGGGTAAGGGAGGGGGACGAATGGAAAACCACCATGTTCACCCCCTGGGGGCTTTTGAATACTTAGTCATGCCATTTGGATTACAATCGGGCTCCGCCTGCTTTCAAGCATTCATGCACCACGTGTTGGGGCCCCTGCTGTACAAGAACTGCGTAGCCTTCTTGGACGACGTCTTAATCTATTCAGACAATGAGAAGCAACATGTCAGCGACGTCAGGGAAGTGCTAAAGAGACTGCAGAAGCACCAGTTGTGGGTCAAGCTGGAAAAATGCCAATTTCACGCCAGAGAGGTTGAGTTTCTGGGGTACAAGTTGTCAGACAAGGGCCTAGCTATGAACCCAAGCAAGGTGCAGGCAGTGCTGGAATGGAAAGCCCCCAAAACCTGGAAGGATGTGCAGAGGTTCCTAGGGTTCAGCAACTTCTACAGGAAGTTCATCAAGAACTTCGCCCACTTGACAGCACCCATCACAGATTGTCTCAGTAGCAAAAGGAAGTTCGCCTGGACAGAAAGTGCCCAGCAATCCTTTGAAAGACTGAAGAAGGCGTTCGTTTCGGAAGAGCAGCTCCTGCACGTTGATCTGGAGAAGCCCATGAGGCTGGAGACCGACGCGTCCGACCGAGCCATTGGGGCGGTACTTTTGCAGCC